AAATGGGCAGAGGATATGAACAGAAATTTATCCAAAGAAGATATACAGATCGCCAACAGATACATGAAAAGATGTTCAGCATCACCAATCATTAGGGAAATCCAAATCAAAACTACAATGAGACATCACTTTACACTGGTCAGAATGGCTATAATTATCAAGACAAAAAATAACAAATGTTGGAGAGGATGTAGACCAGAGAGAACCCTCATACACTGCTCGTGGGAATACAAAACTGGTACAGACATTATGGAAAATAGTATGGAGATTTCTCAAAAAAATAAAAACAGAAATACCATATGACCAAGTTATGCCACTACTGGGTACCAAAAGCTTAAAGGAGTTGTCCTTTAGCTATTTCAAGTTGAAGAAGGGGTTATCATGAAGAGATTTGTGGGTGTGGCTTTTGTATAACGGAATAAAGCCCTAATGAGATTCACAAGAGATTCAAACAGAATTTAAGAGAGTTATATTCACAGAAATGCTTTGCAGTTTGGACTTAAAGGAATGGAGACTCTATAAAATAAAAAAGGGCTTTGGATAAGAATGTCTACAAGCGCAAACCAGGACGAGAAAACTAAACTGCAAACCTGCTAACCTTATAAGAAAAGAAAAGATGACTATCAGAGTAGAACTAAGAGTACAGGGGAAGGAACTAAAAGTCCTGGAGAATTATTCCCAGGCTGTCAGTCCTAATCAAGAAACTGCTCACCTACGCATTAGTTTACAGCTCTTCAAATGGAGAACTGTACTTGAGTTGCTGTACTGAAGCGTCATCTACAACTGCGCATGCTTCACATGATGAGATTCAGTCCTCTGAGCTGCTGCTGTAATTGAGTGATACTTTGAGCGGCATTGGGAGGGGTAAGTGTACTTTGTATCGTGAGGGATGTATCACTAGGGGCCAGAGGGTAGAGTGTGGTAGCCAGCCTCCAAGAGGGGTCACAATGTTCCCCACCTCTTGTATCCAGGCCTCTGTATAGTGCCCTCCAATGCTGAATGAAGGTTGTTCTCCGTGACCAATAAATTTCACGAAAGTGATGGTATGTTACTTCTGAGACTAAGTTAGAAAAGACATCATGTATTTTGTCTTGTTCTCTCTCTCTTGGATTGCACACTCTAGGGTAAGCCAGAGAAGCATACTTTGTTCCTCTATCTCCTGATTAAAAAAAAATAATATTGGTTTTAAGTTTTTCTTAAATATTTGATAGAATTCACCAGTGAAACCTCCTGGGCTTAGATTTTTCTTTATGGGACTGCTTTTTCTCTGTTTAATAATAGAATCTATTTCTGTAATAGAAATAGGACTGCTCAGATTATTCATTTTTTCTGGTGTGACTTTGGAAAGTTGCACTTTTCAAGGAATTTGTGCTTTTCATCTATATTATCATATTTATTGCCATACTGCTGTTTATAATACTTCTTTATTATCCTTTAATATCTTTAGGATTTGTAATGATTATTCCTCCCTTGACTCATTGCTAATATTAGTAATTCATGTTGTTTATTTTTTCTTTAATTTCTTTTCTTCTACAGTTGTTTTTTTTCCTTAAACTTCCCAAAGAACAAATTTGGGCTTCATAATTTTTCTATTATTTGTCTGTTTTTAATTTCATTAATTTTGTTCTTTATATTTCTTTCTATTACTTCCTCTGGGTTCAATTTGTCTTTTTTTTTTCTAGCTTCTTAAGAAAGAAACTTCGATAATCAATTATAGTACTTTCTTCCTTTAAATGTAAACTTTTAAAGCTATAAATTTTCCTCCAAATAAGGTTTCAACTGTATCCCACAAATCTGGATTTATTGTATTACATAAACTAAAAAGGCCTAGGCTCTGAGGGAGGGGATTACAACCTTGGATAAACGCACTTATTCACTGTTATCCTACTAGAAACTACACTACACTATTCATTATACATGAAATGCCCTCCCAGCGGTTTTCTTGGTCAGTTGCCAAACAGTACAAACAAATTTTGTAATAAGATAGTGACAAAAAGAGAAAAGAGCAAACTAAAAGGAAACATTAGAGAATATTTCTGTAGATATTAAGCATTCTCTCTTCTACAGATAACAGATTATGCAAAAAACAATTAACAAATGTTGAAGAAACAAATTTACATAGCTCTCCTCCCTTGCTATAGTCACTTCTTTTATCACTAGTACTAAAGAATAAAGTTATAATAGAATTTCTAAGGGCCCAAAGTCAGTTTTATTATTTTTTTTAAATAAAGGAGTTGATTTTTGAGGTTGTTAGGAATATGCACACTGTTGGGTTTTTTTGGTTAGTAAGATTTGCCCTGAGCTAACACCTGTTACCCAATCTTCTGTTTCTGCTGGAGGAAGAGTGACTCTGAGCTAACATCTGTGTCCATCTTCCTCTCTTTTGTATGTGGGTTGCAACCATAGCATGGCTCAATGAGTGGTGTAGCTCCGAGCCCAGGATCCAAACCAGCAAACCCAGGCCACCTAAGTGGAGCATGCTGAGCTTAATCACTATACCACTGGGCCGGCCCTGCATGTGCATTTTAATAATAGCAGCTGATCTTCAAAGAAGGCAGACAAAATTAGGACTGTGAGATTCCATTCCGATTATTCACATTTGACTCACTTCAAAATTAAAACCTAAGATGCACCATCAGGAAAAATCTCAAATAAGAACACTTTCTAGTGTGATATATTAAACTAATTAATTACTTTTTTATTTTAAAATCAAATAATTGAGATCTTCTGCAGTTAAAAAATAATCTATGTACAAAAGTTGGACTACTATGCATCCTGAAAAATAAGTTCATGAAATAGGAATAAACACTATTTTTCTATACTAAAAAGGTGTTAATCTAAGATGAACAGTTGTTACTAAACTCAAATTTAGTAATGAAAGGTAAGTTGCCGTTTGGCTTAGAGAACTTTCAAATAAACCATTTTCTTTAAAGGCATCTATTATTACCAGAACAGTTGTCTATGATAATCACATAAAAATATTGCTTTTCTTGTTGATTATAAAGAATAAGACCCCCTGCTCTCTGAATGGGCTTAACAAATAGATGTAATTATTGCTCATTGTACACCAGCTTTGAAAATCAATTCTCTTCAGTTTCTTCAAACACTCTTTAATGAAGAAAAATAGATGAAAGTATAAAAACAATCTCAATATATTCTGAACATTGATTCTACAATGAATATCACTGAATATTTTTAAATTATAAAATTAAGTACCCTAAGAAAGCCTCTTGCCACTTCCTGTCAGTTCTTCTACTTCCCTTTACATGTATTAATTTTTTATTAAAATCCAAATCAAAGAGATAGGTAGAAAGCTGAACAGTTGAGTGTTACAGACTTTGAGATTAATATCTTTTAATATAACAGCTGTTATTAAGTTTGCCTTTGTTCAAAGAGGTCCACACTGCATGTTAAGCCAACATCGGGAAATTACACAAGTGCAGGAAAACGTTTATGTTGTCAGTATGGGAACCATATAGTCATACAGACAGTGGTGTGCTGGTAAATATTTGACAGCAAGCTCAGTAAAAATTAACTGCCCTTATTTATGATGTTTGCCAATTTCTGTGGCATGATATTCCAATGTGGCTGATTTCAAGCTACTAAAATGACACACTTGAATCTACAATTGGGAAATATGCACAGTAGCCATTATACAGTATTTCCACATAGAGATTCAATGGATGTAAATAAGCTCACGAGTGTAGTTAATAGTAAAATGTAGTAAAATAAATAGGAAATGATGAGTTTTGAGTACTGACTACGCTTTTAAAAATACAATTCGTTTCATCATAAGTGTATACAGTTTCATTTTTTATGCCTGTGCTTAACTGCAAGCTCATAAAATTCCTAAAATTCGAACAGTCATCAAGTATAAGCACACCACTCCTGCACACCGTTGCATAGATTCTAGTCACAAAAGCTATGCCAGTGATATAAACTGGTATGGGATACGGAGAGCTCTTCCAGTTTTTACTCCAGCACTTGATAAGGAACACGTGACTGGAAACCCCCAAATAGTCTAGGGCAATCTTTCTCTTAAAATCCCTTCTCTCTTCCTGATTCCATTCTGGCCTCTAGAGGTAGCTGCCAGCACTATTATTATCATCAGTGTTAGAAAAGCAAATATCAGTGATCATCACTGTAAGGGAGCCATAATACTATTTATTCTAAACAGTTATGGTTTTCTGTTCTCGCACTATTTATTAATATCTCCTCTCAATTGAATGATAATGAGATATAATAAAAAGTCACTGAATTTAGAGTCAGAAATCATCCTTACCAGAGGAAAGTCATTCAAAATTTCTGACCCCCTCACTTTATATCTTTGAAATAATATTAATGTGTACACTTTCCATAAAAACCCCCCAAAGAAAATAACCGTTGTAATTATATATTAAAAAAAACCCATAGCACATTTGAATCATAAAGAATGGCTGATTTCTGGGCATAAAGGCGAGAGAATCCATCACTTATTTTCCTGACTAGCTCATCCTTTAACTGAGCATAGGTTGTGGGAGGGCAGCAGTGTTCAATGCACAAAATCAGTCAGACTTTCAGATTAAATTTTACTACACTGATTTTCACTGGGACAAAAATGACTAAGTAAACTACTTTTATGGTATCATATAAACTAAGCCTCATGTATCATTAAAGCAAAGTCCGTTTAATAGGTCTCTCAATAGCTTTATAATAACATATAAACATAACTTAAGAGCTGATGTCCATTTCTCTTTACCTGATTTTTCCCAGGCTTGGTGTCAATTTATTCTTTTTCAATTCCTTCATGGAATTTTAGAAGTTAAGGGCTAAAGAGTGCCTTATAAACCAGAACTCCAAACCCCTCATTTGACACACAAGAAAAGCTGAGCACCAAGAGGACACCTGCCCCCTGCACAGTGTCATTCAGTTCATTATCGACAGAAGCAGGGACTGACCGGGTCTACAGCCCTCACTGTCTAAAGGCACCGAAAGACATTAATCTTAGAGTAAACCATTACCTCTTGAAGAACCCTCTTCATCTTTAATAATAACGTCTTGACAGCTGTGCAGTCCTGTAACATCAGTCTGAATGGCAGAGAATCTATGCCTCCATTCTCTTCCACACCTTGCAAGGGCCAATCTGCAGATGGACTGCTGGGCATTCGGCTGATGTGGGCACACCTGGCTTCCTGATCAAGGTCTTTTGTTAACTTCAGGGAAAGGTTCCTAACAAGAGAAAGAAAAAGAACAAAAATTATGACGTAACACATTCAGAGCAGCATTTTCCAAGTTGTTGATCAATGTCAGTAGTGAGCTAGAAAAAATTTCCTTGTGACCCTCATCATTTCCTCATATTAGTCTTTGAAAATTCTGAAACCATTTGTCAAAATTACAAAATTGGTCAATTGCATATTTCGTAGTAAGATTCAATGACAATCAAATTTCATTTATACATGATAACTGTGTTTACACTTCTTTAACTCTTTCAAAAATGTTGAAAGTCAACAGAAATCACTGAAAGAGAAAGCTCATATAAAGATTTTCTGAAAATATGCTTAAAAATTAACTGAAAAGGAAAGATTAAGAAATCAAAAATTAGGATAAAATAATTTTGGCAATTACTTTAAATTTCTAAAGCAACCAATGACCATTTTAGGAATTAAGGAAGCTTATTATACATAGGATTTTATGTAAAATTAGTGAAATAAACGGAAAATGCATAACTCTAAATGTAATTAGCATGCTTTCAAATAATCATTAAATTTTTAGCATAGTAAAGTGTAGGGAAACAAAACACACATATTTATTTTGTTCTACTTCATAATCAGCAATTACTTGAAAATAATGCATTTTGAAAATCCTTTAAGATGGCTAACATTGGAGATATAAGCAAAAGAAAAGATACTAAGATTGACAGTTTTCCAAATGTGCAAATCAGGTAGATCTAAAAATAGTATGAAAAGATGAGCCTATGACAATAATCTTTTTTAATGATTTTGTCTAAGTTTATTTCCATTTGTTAAATCCAAGGGGCCAATCCAACAATGACAATTAATATTATAAGATAGCTCAGGATACTTATGAAAAAATAGTTTAGGACTTGGGTTCAATTTGAATAGCTTTTATGTATATTATTTTCCTAATTATATGCTAAGGTCACTTAGCTGTCTAAATTGAGTAAAAACAGAGTTGCCTTCGAACTTGCCATGAAGATTAGGCAAAGATGCAAATGAGAAAATATATATTCAGTTAATTTTATTCAAATTTGGTTATTCACAAATAGTATAATTTAATTTATAAAGTATTGGAAAATTAGTAAAGAAAGCATATTTTTGGATCAGCTCAATTCTTTACCTGTCTTCCCAGGTATACTCAGGTATATTCATTGATCACAACTGTCCTTTCAATGGAAAGATTTCTATGCCCATTTTATATCTATAATGAAATACTAAATAAGTAGTCATGGCTAACACTTTTTGAAGGCTAACTATGGGCCAAGTACTGTGCTAACCATTTCACATATGTTAATTCATTCAAACATTGAACAAGTCAAAGAGGCAGATGCAATGATTATCTTTATTCTACATATGAGAAAACCGAGGCCCAGATAAGTAACTTTTCTCAGAGTTAAATGGCTAGTAAGAAATAGACCTGGGATGAATCAATCTAAGCACTCTTGTAAGATAAGATTTTTTTCCTACTAATCCCATAATGTGCACATATTATAAAACAATGTATATCAGGCAGTCTTGTAAGGACTTCCCATATGTTAAACCACTTAATACTCCCAACACCTCTTTGAGGTAGGTACTGTTAGAATCCCCATTTCACAGTTGAGGGATACGAGTCTCAGAGAGTTTAAGTAACATGCTGATGGTCACACAGCAAACAAGAGACAGAGCTGAGATTATTGCACTTGAGCTCTAAATCACTACACAATCCTGCATCTCACCTTGTGTGAAGAACAAGCAAGCAAATGAACAAAAACAAAAAAAATCTACAATTATACAAAGACTCATTTATATTTTCACTTTTAAAATATATTTTATCTGATATGACTGATTCATTTTAACTATATACAACTTATAGTGACCTATACAATCATTCTTAAAGATTTCTATTTTATTTCAGCATCTTCTAGGCTATTTTCTCTAAGACAAAGAAGAATAAAATGGAATATAAAAACTAGAAATCACAGTATGTGTAATAGTATTTTAGTTATAATAGAATTTTCAAAGAGTTATCAGGCTTAAGTTGTGAGCTGGCCTGGTGTCTGGCACATCTTAGGTTGACTCAGTAAATAACTGTACAATTGAAGTTGAATAAATGACTATAATAATGAGAGAATGAATAAAACATAATTCTCTGTAATAATCCATGCCTACACTCTCATTGGTATACAGACATTTTTCTAGAAGTGAATTGTTATGTATTGCAGGGTTGCCACCCACGGTTCAAAATTTCCTGGCACTCTCCCAATAAAATAATCAGACTCAGGTTTTTATAATTTCTTTTGCTAGACTGCTGTTTCTTTGAGCCTATTTCCTCAATCGTGAATGTAAACATCAGTGAAGACTGACAAAGCTCGCAGAAACCATACTAGTGGGAAGCTCTACAACTAATTTCAGGAATTTACTGAGATTCTGTGGATTAGAGTTTAATATTTACAAATTGTGGGATGTCTGCCATTTCTCAGGAAGTTAAGAATGGGCTATAGAAATGCATTTAGAAGATAAAATTAGCCATTTGTTCTATGCTTCAAAAGTTTGGATCTATTCTTCATTCCAGAAAGAGAGAATGATGGCATTTTTTCACAATTATGGAAAACATCCAATTTGTATCGAACAGAGCAACGGTGGTGAAGTTGCAGAGATTAATAGGATTATTAATCCTATTATTAATTGGTCACTGACCTTAAGAGGCCCACTACAAGTATTAAATTCTTAGTAGCCGATACCAAAAAATGACAACTAATAAATACTCTTTCACATATGAAAAACAAATCTATTTATCTCAAAACATTTTACTTGTACATGAAAAACAGTCACCTACAAGACCACAGTAAGCAAACCACGTTCACTCAGGTTGAGGCAGTTAGTGAAATGGGCTGTTAAACAGGCCTGCTCCTCTGTTGCTAGGCCAGCACAACCATCCTGTTCTATGTTTATGGCCATTGTATTTCTGATTGATTGATGCCTGTGGTTTACAATTGTCTAATATTTTGAATATCAATGTTTTTAACAATAGACTTTTATTGGGCCCAAAACACCTAAGTGTCTCTGGAGAAATTTAGCTAAAAAAAACCTATCTCTGTAGTTGACAAGAAAAGAAAAATCTCTAATACGGAACCAGAATTTCCTCTAGCACAGACAATCCATAAGGCCAAAAGGAGAGCTAAGCTGTCCTGTGCCTGCGTTAGCAGGGCTCACCAGATACCAGAGTCCATGCACTTTGGGATATATAGCTCTGTGTCTGCCAACTCTGAATTATCACAGTTTCAAGAAACTGAACAAATGTGCTTTACATAAAAAAGAAAGATAGTCCCTTAACATGGCCAAAAAAAAAAAAAGGTAAGATACTTTGGGCTGATACAGTGGTTCATTAATCACCAAACTACTGCAAACAAAAAACAAAGACAATGTAATTTCCACCAAGCACATTTATATACCGTCACCCTCTCTGTGTCAACTCCACGCATCTTGGGCAGACTTGCTCAGTAATTACACTTGCCTCGTTGGTTATGAATACTAACTAAGTCTTTATAATTTAAAATTCAGTAACACTTAGACAAAGTCAAATTGAGACTTATGGGCCTTTCTTAGTCCATAAATACCAAAATAATGAAGGTTTTTAGTAGGATTAACAGCAAAACTCATAAATGTTACATTAACTGTATTCTTGAAAGTTTCAATTTGAGAAACTTAAAGAGTTTCAACTAGTTCTTAAAACATTTACCATGAACTACTATGGCGAATTCTCTCTGTACTTTGGTCACTGGGATACTTTGTGTGAAAGGAATTTTCTACCAAGCTAGTTCGAGTTCTCCTGCCATTCTATTTTCAGTATGACAGACAATTTTAATGGAAAAAATATGTATCTTGACATAAACTATAGAGTGATTAAAGGATTTCTGCTTAACAGGGACAGAAAACAAAAGAATATTTCCATGATGTTTTATCGTTTCATTATAACCAGCATTATCATTTTGATAGTGAGAAATTTTCTTTGCACCTATATGTACTCTTCAAATAACCTGAAAACGTCCCAATATAATGGCAAAATGACTAACAAAATACAGGATCACATCAGTTGCAAAGGACTGATGCTCTTACCCATCACAGGAGCTAGTCCTTACTTATTTAGTGCACTGACACCTTTCATTACAGTAAATGTGCATGGTCATAAGGGATCTGTCTCAATGATTTACTTTTGTAATGTGACTATGATTTCCGAACCAGATTTCCAAAGAATGGGAAACTAAATACAATCTCTATTTGCCCAGCATAACAAATAAGCATGTGTTTACAACTGCCTTCCACAGCCTCATTAAGTAGATTTGCAGAACACAACAGTTTTTAAAAACCTTACTTTGGGAAACGCATTGTTATTTAAACCTCATTTAAAAAAAAGTTCAGGTTATTTACGGTAAATGATATCTTAGCTTGAATAACTCAAAGAGAGGCACAAGGGTATACATTTGTATTAATGAACTGGCATCCTCCAACCTAACAAAAACTGTCGGTTTAAGGAACTATCTACAAAAAGGCTATCACGGTAAATAAACTATTTTTCTCATATTTTCTTTCAAAATATATTGTTTATCTGAAAGTGTCATTTTAGGAAAGAATTTGTATCTCAAATTGTTTTATAAATGGGTATTAGCCATATTTCCAGAAGAGGTAGAACCAGCATCCACAGTAGGATAGTGGGTATAAGAATTTGTTAACACTTTACAGTTAGACATGAATTTACATGTGCGAAGGATTTCACTACTACCTGTGATAGGTGGAAAGGCAAGATAAAATCCAAATAACCTAATATAGCCATAAAGGTCTTCCATAATCTAGCAACTGTTTGCCTTACCATACCTTATCTTATAACAGCTGTTTTCTTGTTTTTTGAGTTCCAATCACACTGGCCTTCATTCAGGTCCTGAAATGTGCCAAGCTCCATCCTGCCTCAGGACCTTTGCATATGTTGTTCTCTATGCATGAAAAAGTATTGCT